TTGCAGACATTGAGGATGAAACCCAAGGGGAACTTACCCTCAATGATGACTGAGAAAGCCGAAGTGGTGAAAGAGATGAGACTTTCAACCCTTTTCATAGGAAGGATTTCAGTGATGAAAAAGAAAGACCACGAAGCTTTGGAACTTATTATCAGAAGAGGTCGAGAGAGGAGGCCCGATATAAAGGGCACAGGGACTTCAGAATAAAGGTGGTCAAAGTTTAATGGTGGAATGGATCGAGATGACTTTGCTGAATGATTACAATTAGTTGAGAGGATCTTCAAGTAAAAAGAGGTGCTAGATGATAAAAATGTGAAACTCTCAACTATCAAATAGAGAAAAGTGTCTCCTTGTGGTAGAACAACTTGCAGAGGCCGAGAAAGTGAGAAGGCGATGGCAAGATTACTAAGTGGGAAAAGATGCGGAAGGCGATACAAAAAAAAATATCTACCTCACTATCGTTAGGATTTGTTTCTAAGATTCCACGACTTGTAGTTTGAACAGTTGTAAATGAAGTGTGATTTGGCCGAGCCAGAGGAACGCATTATAACCCATTATTTGGGGGCTTGAAGTGTGATTTGGCCGAGCCAGAGGAACGCATTATAACCTATTATTTGGGGGTCTAAAGCTTGCTATTAGTAATGTAGTGCAGCTGTAACATTGTTGGTCGACGTCCAAACCTTAATATTGAAAGTGGAAAGACAACAAAAATAAAACAGACAACCATCACCAGTCAGAGACCACCCACAGCTGAAGACACCAGTAGAAGCACACCTTAGGAAGTTGAGAAAACTTGTTTAGATAAGGATAGAGCCACCCCCAATGAGAAGAAACCTGAGAGGAGTAGCATGCCTTCTACAGTCATTGCCATAAAATGCTTAAGATGCAATGAATTTGGGCACATCACCTCCAGTTATCCGACGAGCCGAGTTGTCTTTTACCGAGCAGGGCACCGTGAAAGAGGATAGCAACGAGGAACAGGGTGAGGTGTATTAACTTTCACTGGATGAAGGAGAGGCCCTCGTGGTTAGCGGATCTTACAGATCAATGATACGAGGGATTCACAGGGACATTGCACAATAAATTTTAACGAGAAGGTATGCGTCTTATTATCGATGAAGTGAGCAGTAAGAACATGACGTCTACACAGATTGTGGAGAAGTTGGGCCTCATGACTCAGAGGCACTCCAAGTCATATTCTCTGATGTGGCTGAAGAGGAAAAACATAGTCTGCATTGCCGGAGGTGCCTGGTGGAGATTTTAATTGGGAGCCAACTGTAAGATCAGGTGTGGTGTGACGTGGTCCCCGTAGATGTCTGCCACCTTTTGTTGGGAATTTTACCATAGGCACGATGGGCTTATAAACACTTACTCCAAGGAGGGGAAGCACATAATCCGACTTCCACTGGCAGAGCCCGAGATCACAGGAGCCTTTGCCAGCAGAGAAGCACCGGTGGAACCATTTTTGGTGACAACAGAGGATGATAGGATTGAGGCACTAACTCCAGACACGGGACAGCCACGACAGGACATCTCAAGACATCACGGTCGTTATTTTACCAACATAGCCACCACAGCTTGTGGTGGTTCAGGTTACCCTCACTTCAGATCAGGTTGAGCTGACCGTGGATTATTTTCAAGGAATTTACCAGAATACTCATGGTACACAGACTCAGTTTAGTTCAGTAGTGGACCTTGGAACTCTAGAGGAGCAGATCGATATGGATGTATGCTCGCCAGCGGAGGAAGCTCGTCTGATGTTTTGAAAAACAGCCGACGGTGGGATCTGTGAAACACGCAATAGCATTAATATCAAAAAGTACGAAAACTATGCAAATATGTGTCTATGTTGTACAAAGTGAGCCCTATTATCTACAAGTATAGAGGAGAGTTCTCTATCACTATCTATATGTAACAAAATAAAAGAACTATTAAGAGCACGCTTTGCACAAAAATGAGCGGTCCTATTACATTATTCACGTGGAATATGCAAAAATAAAACTTATCTAAATTTCAACAAAAAGGTTGGATTTGAAGCATCATGCGGCCTATGTTGCCAAAACTTTCTTTTTATAGTAGAGCAACAAAGCTTGATAATGTTGTTGTTGTCGCTTTCAATGATATTGCCTTTACTCTCAAACATCCATGGCTTACATAAAATCCACGCATGGATAGCTTGAAGCTCCACTTCAGAGCTATCCCAATGTTCGAAATAGTTGCCCGCCACAGAAATACCAAAGCTCAACTCGTCCCATAAAACTGCACCTGTGCTAGCAACCTTGGAGGAAAGGAGGGTCCCATCATCGTTAAGCTTGATCCATCCAGAAGGGGGAGGATGCTAGTAAGCAGAGAACTAACCCAGAGGGTTGGCTGGCACCCTAGTGCTCACAGAATGGATAAAGAAATGTCAAGTGAGAGCCTCCAAAATAGTGGATGTGAGAACGATAGGAGTACCATGCGCTCGAACATGAGTTTTTGCATTGGGGGCTCTCGAAGAATGGTGAACGATGTAGCGGTAACAACGTGCTTGAGCCAAATTATTGGCATTGGCGGTTTGGAGAAATTGCATGACATCACTAGCATTGGCAAAATTGGGTACAGAGATACGCCACCCGCCCATAATCTCTTTAGTTCTGCAAAACAGTAAGCATTTTAGAAATATGATTTATATCTTCGATCTCTTAGCAACCTCATGGACACTCCTAACTCCTTAGTAAGGAATGGCTTCGCTAGCCAATCCTGACTCGGGATGGCATCATGGGCAAGCCTCCAGAGGCTACTAGGGCCGCAGTTGAAGATCCTTCAGCTCCGAGAGGTTACAATAACTCCATCACCGATAACGGGCAGACAAAAGCTTTGACTCATGAGGTAGCCCAACTCCGGGCGACTGATGAGGGCAAAGGGGCTGAACCAACCAGTTCAACAAGGGGGCCAGTCCAGCATGTGTCCGGCCATAGGTGGGGTTAGTTTTACCACCCAAGGGGAGGGGCCTCCCCCTCATTATCTGCTATTATAAATTAGTTCATTAGTTTGTTTAGGGTTTTTTTTGGCTTGTTTTCTGTCAGGAGAGCCGTAAACTTCCTCTGTTTACCCTTTTAGGGTTGTATCTGAGGAGAATTGGTGTTCTGTCTGTAGCTCAGTCTTAGGCGGTGAATATTCTTAGTTTTACCCTCCCACAATCTCCTCCTCGCTGTCGCCCTACACCCCCCTCTTTGCTAGCTGCAGTTCATTCACAACACCCGCCCTTTTCTACTTACTACAGTCCCCCGTCTCCCGACCAACCCACCTACCTGTTCGCTGCTGTTCAACCACACACCTTTTTTTCTTCCTGCAGCACAGCCTACCACCATCCTGCCGCCTTCCACCCACTGCCTCCAATCTCCTGTCCACCTGATCCCTGTTCCCCCCCACCGTCCACCTGACCCTAGCTGTCCTCCAATTACATCCCTACATTCCCCCAATTGCAGCCACCTTTGACAGCGTCCTCGCCACCCCTATTGACGTCTTAGTTTTATGTCGTGTCATTGTTTTTCCTTTTTTCAAGTGTCTTGTTTGTAACCCCTTTTAAATTTCAGCAACAATAGTTAGATTTCTTTTGTGATTTTGGTTAACTCCGGTAGCAATGGTTTAGAACTTTCACTCATGTAAATCGTATGAAGTCATCTACCATTACAAATCCATAAGATTTTCCTTCTAAACTACTAGTGCTGATTGGTCCAAATAAACCCATATGTTAAATTTCTAGCTCTCTTGAAGTGACTAAATCCTCTGTAGAATGGAAAAAAGATTTAACCAGTTTTTAAAGTCGACAAGCATCACAAATGCAAACACCTTCAAGGAAAAAAAAACTATGCCATTTAAATTCAATAAACATTTGTCAGACATAAATTTAATATCAAAGTTTTTATCACATAACTTACTAATACTTGGCAAGTTATGTTTCAAACATCAATTAACAAGGTATTTTCAACAATAAGAGATTGTTTCTTAACAACATTACCAGAACCAATTACTTTTAGCGTAATTTTGCCTCTAAGCTTCACTTTTTTGCCCATCTTGGATTCTAGTGCTAAGAATTTACTTTTTTCGCTAGTTAATTGTCTAGAGCATCCGCTATCCAGATACATGAAATTAGTTAGAGGTATTAGGAACCTAGGCCATTCCGTCTCCCTAAAAAAAATAGATGAATGCATGCGGTGATTAATTTTATCATTTGTTACTTCCCATTTCAATGGTGTTTTTATGTGAAATTTGTGGGGGCATAATGATGCAATATGTCCAACTACTCAACATGAATGACATATACTGTTAGGGAATGCATGCTCAAATCTATGAGATAAAAGTTCTACTTTCTTGAAGGGAATGCTGCTAAAGGTGCCACTTTAGATGGTGCAAATGTTGATTAGTTTTTTTATTCTAACACTTTTTTTCTATGGTTTTCATTTGTACTCTTAGTTATTCCTATATCAAGCTTTAACTTATGTGCTTGTACTCTGAAGATTTTCAAACTTGCATTCTTAATCATGATACTCTTCTTCTACTTCAGAATACATGAGATTTTTCTTTTCAAAATCTTTCACTTTATTTGAATTGTATATTTGCGTGGTGTACTCTTTTTGGAATGATGCAAAGTTTACCATCCTGTTCATAGCTGCCCACATATTACATGCTAACAATGGGAATTATAAAACATCATTAATTTCATTATCGAGACACGAGAATTAAATTTCTTGCTGTTTAGTCCATGAGCAGTTATATCATTGAAACAGCCGTTTAAATGCTTAGCTACTTGTATATAAGCATCATCATTATTTTTTTGTTAAGTATTATTTCTTATTCAAAGAATGTAACTTCCACACTTCGATTATCTGGCATTCTTTGCTTTGATGGTTGAGAATGTAAGTTTCATTCTTTGATGTTTAATTTTTTATGTTTTCAAAGCTGTTATTGTTATTATGCTATTAATTTAGTTTCTTTCCTTCCCTAAAACTTGCTCATAGCAAATCAGTACTTTAGCTGGTAACCAAGTGCCGAGTTATTTTAAGTGGGAAGTTTTATTTACCATGGCCATCGGTGGATTGGGACTGCTACTTTTTGCCTTGCTTATCGGAAATATGCAGAACTTCCTCCTAGCCCTTGGAAGAAGGTACATTGATTACGTTAAAATTTTCTATTCATTTTCAAGCTTATATTTTTCATGTTGGAGTAGAAATAATTTTACACTTGATCTTGAGAAAACGGGAATATAGTGTTGCATATTGCCTGCATGTTTATGATGAAATTTTTTATAGAAAATTATAAAATGAGTGTTTCAACATAAGCCATCTTACTCAAATAGTTCATCCTCAAAGATGTCCTCTGACTCACCCGAATCAGCAGGAGAGAGCTTGTAAAATGCTACCGGTTTTATTCACTAGACTTGATCAATTAACTGGTTAGGTGGATACAGTTCAGACATTATGAAGACCTATTCCTTATCCCATGTTGAGCTAGGAGTCAGGCACGGAATGTTTTCTGCCAAGTATTAGTTGGATATATGCTATAATGCCTTGTGTTATTGCTATGTAACTTGTGTTGTAATTTTTTTTTAATTTAGTATTGTTATAAATGCTTATATTTAGGAATGCAATTGTAAATTCCTTCTAAGGTAGATTTGTTTGCTGTAACTGTTGAATTTTAGCCTTGTATCTTGACAATTAACTTCTATATAATGATTGTATCAGGAGTTTGGTTTGTATGTTATTCAAACCATCTCATCCTAAATAGTGCTCGTCCTGGGGCAACCTGATCTCATTAATCTCATCTACATTGGGCATCATTATTTCTCAGTTTGTTTCTCTCAACAATGTGATCTCATTTCTCCATCTTCGCAACCAACACTGAATGTGCCGATTGATCTCGTCCCCATCTTTAGCTATCTTTTTTCCCTCACTGTTTAGTTCTCTGATCTCATTATTAATGGTTTTAGCAGATTGCATATTTCTCCACCCATCATCGGTCATTCACCTCTATGTCAATGCTTCTTCTGTCACCAAATCCATGCCACTTGCAGTTGTCTAGAGTTCAGTCAATCGAGCTTTTCTTTCTCTGCCCATCTTTTGTCATTTTGAGAGCTCTGGTATTGATTTATCTATCCTCAGGACTCGCAGGCTCCAAAAACTTATGCCTAGCTCACTTGCAAAAGTTCTTGTATTTTTGAATTAAATTTTAAGAGGATAATTTAAATTTTATATAAGACACTATCTAGAGATTTTGTTCATATTTTGCGAGGATTTTATGATTTTGTTCAATTTTTTATATTGGCTCAAGCTCTAATTTTTAATCACTCCATTTGATGAGTAGAGAGAATGTTTTTATTAAGGCTAGCCATGGAATTTGATCTACTTGTATGAGGAGGCTTTTGAGCTAAACTGAGCGAACGATCTTTGTCATTAAGTATGAGTTACACACATCACTTAGTGGCTTTTATAGACCTGAGGTGAATGCTTATCTAAATGAACAATTTTGATTCAATCTAAACTAAACAATAGCTTTATACTTTATCAAGTGTATTTTATAATTCATCACTTAATGATATTTAGACCATTGATGAACTTGCATGTTCTATTAGTAACCTTGATTAATGGTGTTGTTTTGCACTGAACCACCTGATTAGAGGACTTCAGTTGTAACTTGTATATATTTGTCATGAACTTAGGACCACAAATTAAGTTTCAAATCTTGCTAAAGTATTTTTGACTTGGGAGCCGATTTGGATCACTTTTGATTTTTGTTTTTATTTTTTACTTTTAATTTTAATTTTACTTTGTTTATACTTTATTTGAACGTCGACCATCTGATGATCTGGTTAGGAGAGTAGATATTTTAGATTCGACTTGTGTTAAGTAAGGCAGAGGTAGACCTAGGAAGACTTGGGCTTATTGTATTAAAAATTATCTTAATTTACTAGAACTAAATGAAAATATGACACTAAATAGGACACAATAGAGAAAAAGGATTCATGTAGCCGACCTCACGTAGTGGGATTAAGGCTTTGTTGTTGTTGTATACTTTTATTTGAAATAAAACTTATTTGGTATGTTATAACTTGTTTAATTATTTTTAAAAACACTCAGAATAGTTTTTAGGTGTGTTGAGTGTTTTTATAAACAAGTTAATTTATTTTTTAAAATAGAAAATAAAAATGTGAACTTATGCACTAAACAAACATGCTTTTAAAATAAAAGTGAAAACAAAAGCAAAATATAAAAACCAAAAACAATTCAAAATAAGCCCTTAGCATTTGTAGGTCTTTTAGGGCTTACAACACAATTCTTTTAACAAGAAAACACTAATATCCACCTCATGTAAAAGGCAGTCATAAGTCCCTATCACGAGCCACTCTAAATCTATTGGTGGTAAGCTCCAATTCGCATCTTAATTCATGTTATAATGTCATATTGGAGAATTTGACTTTTAATGCCATGTATACATAAATTTGCTTGGGTTTTCACAATCATTTTCATAAAAAAAATTAACATAAGTGTGACGCCTTTAGGTTACCCAGCCTAAGATTGGGTGAAGTTTCAACATCTGTACTCGATCATTTGAGTAAATAACAAAGTTGAAAACGCTCCTGGTAAAATAATCTCCTTGTAGGTATCCTGATTTTCTTGTCAATATCATCGGTCAGTTGGAATAATTTCATTTCAGATTCTGTGGTGGCGTATTTAATCTTTATAACTGTACATCTTTTCTGATCGGCTTACTCTCTGTATGCATCTTAGCTCAAATATTTTTTCTTGAAGGAGGCTGGAAATGCAACTGAGAAGACGGGATGTAGAGCAGTGGATGAGCCATCGGCGTCTGCCAGATGAATTAAAGAGGTAAAGAGGTTTGTTGCCATCTAAATTTACAAAACCTTTCTAACAAGAAGTGTAATAGAGACTTATTTTTTCAGTATGTGAGATCCTGCTTAGAAGACTTTCCTTCAATGGAATATTATCCTTTTCTGTTATTTTAAAATAATTTAGTTTAATTCTCTTTAATATTTCATTAAAATTTTATTCTTTTGGATGAAGTCCTTTCTTACCCGAGGTTACATTATTTGGAGTACGTGGCTCGAGCCATATTTTTTGTAGAAAGCTTTTTTTTTTACTATGCATTATTTTGATTATGAAAGCAGTACAAGGGTCCTAGAAAGTTTTTGATTATCAAACAAGTACAGGGGATGTAGAAAGTCTAAGATCATTATTTTTTAAAGTTATTTACTCTGTTAAACCTTATAACCATTAATGTTTCTTTGGGAACACGTGAACTAAGTAAGCAAGACCCGTGCATATGAATTGAGACTTTTAGTTGAGTTGCAAAATATTACAGAGAAATGCATTATGAAATTTGCTTACACTATTCAGTATCATATTGTGCTTTGAAAACAATGATCTTAACAAACCACCTACTTTAAACTTGATGTATTTCCAAATAAATTATTGAGGAAAAAAGCCCTATGAAGATTGTGAGGAAATTAAAAAAAAGAAAAAAAAAAACTGTGGCGTCAGCACATCATTAAAGAAGGAAATAATGTTGTTTTCATCCCGTTGCCATCAGACATGGCTAGTACCTGAAACTGTTCGCTAATGTTTCCTTGACCTCAGGTACATACCTCAGGTCACCATAATTACTCAAAATAAACCGAATATGGAGATGGTGACTAGGTTAAAAAATGCCAATTAACTGCCTACTTCCCTTTATATGGATGAGCTATGGGATCCTACACCATTGCATAAAAGATCGTATCTTAGTCGCTTAGTTAGCCTTAGGTTTTCCCGGGTGATTCCTTTTTTTTTAATTATTATTACAAAAATAATCATTCTTTCTTATTTAGCACAATGAATTATTAGGGTGATAATTTTAAGTGCTCTAGTATTAATGCGTTGTTCTTTTGTATGAAGTTTAACAAATTTTCAGAAATATGGTCTGATCTATGTCAAACTTTGTTGTTTCATTAATACGCTGACAGTTTTTATTTTTATTAAACTTTATTTTGGGAAATCTGAGTTATTTAGTGTTTCAATTTGTGCATTCCTTTATCAAGGTAATATGCTGCATGGTTTGATACTCAATATTGAACAATAGGAAAGTGAGGCAAGCAGAGCGATTTTGTTGGGCCGCCACCAGAGGTGTAAATGAAGAAGAATTGTTAGAGAAGTTACCAGAGGACCTGCAGAGAGATATACGGCGCCATTTTTTCAATTTCCTCAAGAAGGTGAGTTTGGTTCACATAGCTGACTCAAATATATTTATTTTTTATTTAATTAGGCGCAAGAAAATTTATCATGTTTTAGTTAAGTGATTTATCCTGCAAATTTTCTGCATCCTTTATTTATATTTATAAAATCAAAATTGTTGCTTCATTTCAAATACATCCTCTTGTTTTCAAACCATTGCATATTATTACTATGGCATTTATCTTTTAGTTTGCAGAATCTCTAGGCAGTGAACCGTGTTCCACATAATTTAGCTTGCACCGTGTAAAATATGTTGCTTGTGTTTGTATACACAGGATTGGTAAGCTAATTGGTGATGGACCATGCACTTTAACACATGCTAACATTTTTATTTAATATATCTTTAGAATTTGTTTTGGGAATTTAGAAGTTAATCAATGTCAAGACATTCATTGAAAAGCTTTCGTGCCAAACTTATAAGTACAAAAATTAAAGATGTGTGAGATGGATAAATGTCTGTGAAATTGGTGTGTCCCAAGAGAAAACCAGACGTGTTCTAAGTAGAACTTCAGTAAAACAGAATCAGCCTTGAATGGTTCAAAACCTGGTTGGTTCATGTTTTTTGCTTGGGACATATTTTGGGACCTTTTGGTTTCTTTGATTCTTGTTACTTTGGAGTTTTTTTTTTCTGTATTTTCTCACCCATGGGAATGCTATAGCCTTCTTTTTGAAGTGATGTTGATGTATCTTGACTATCTATAGGTGGTGGACGTGTGTTCATATTCGTGTACCTTCTTCCTACTAGCCGCCAGTTCTTTTTCTTCTTTGTCCTCATTACAGCAGTAGTCAGCCCTTCTAACCACTTAAATCCCCTTTTTTCAGGTTTCTCATCGTTCCTATCCTCTTTTACAAAGATCTCAATCCTATGTTGATCCCTACATCTCATTTAGAAGTCCTAGATTGGTGTCATTTGGTATCATGACTATAAATATCCTAGATCTTTGAAAATTTACTACTCTCAACTCAAACCCAAATTTACATAACTCCTCTCCCTACAAAAATCCCCACTACACCCAAAACTAAACTCTATCACTTTCGGCCAAACAAAATTCTGATTGCCATATCTGTTTGAAACCTTAAGTGGAAGAAAATTACCATGCTGCCAAGAACAAATATTCAAAGGTTTGATCAAGAGCTTATCATGGAGGATATGTGTGAGAAATTCTCCAATTATAACGTTGGTTAATTAAATTTGAAAGGAGACAATGAAGTTATCAATAGCCATAATGGTGTCAATTGGATGAGAATATGAAGACAATTCCTCTCTAAAAAGTTTCAAGTGATGAAGAACTAGTGCCTCTTCAGTTTGGCATTGAGTTTGGAGAATGACAAAATGACTTTGGTGTGAGATTGGCTTATCAAATTATGATGGACTTGAAAATCTGGGTGAGTTTGTTGAATGGTTTTAAATTGTGGAACGGACCGTTGAATACAGAGCCATCCTACAATATCAAAGAGCTAAGTTTGCTGCCATCAAACTCAAAAAGAGCATTTCTTTGTGGTGGGAGAATTTAAAGTTGAAGAATAAGTTCACTATATGGTTTTAAGATTCAGGGGGAGATGCATTGCAGGTTCCTTCCAAAAAACTATCAACAAGATGTCCTTTTTGAAGCTCTACAATCTATTAAAAGCACTCGTCCATATGGGAGTGCACTATTGAATTTAAATAACTCATGCTGAAATGTGAGTTAGTGGAAATACATAATGCGCGGTGGCATTGTACCTTGAAGGTTTGAGGCCATCTATTGACAACTTAGTGCAATTATAATTATATTGTGTAATAACTGTAAGTTACAAGTAATAATAATAATAATAATAATAATAATAATAATAATAATAATAATAATAATAATAATAATAATAATAATAATAATAATAATAATAATAATAATAATAATAATAATAATAATAATAATAATAATTGAATAGGAGCGTCTCTTCCGTTACGACTTAATAGTCGTAAGCCCCATTTCGAAGAATTTAAACCGAGAGAGCACAGAAGAGAGCAGAGAGCTCGAGACTTAGAAAGATAAGAAGAAGAAGAAGATAGGGAAGTGACCACTTGTGTGCGTGGGAGGCAATGTCGTGCCCTAACCGAAGGAAGAGGCAATGCCATGCCCTAGCCAAAGGAAGAAGTCGATATCGCCATTTACTATGAGTTTGCTTCTCTTTTAGATTCAAAGACTTTTTTTCGTATAGGTAAATCTTGCAATCTTCCACAATTTTTTCATTGGGCTCTTGAAGGTGGTGGTGATCACACCTTCATTAAAAAACTGGGAAAAAAATGGGAAGCCTGCTCTTATTCTCACAAAGGTTGAAACCAGTACTCTCGCATCTTCTTCGCGTTTTGCTCTAGTGGGAAAATTTTTGTATAGAAATTCTTTTATGGTCACCCAAAACTGAAGATCATTCAGAAAGAATTTGATGCTATGAAGCTGTTGGGCAGTTGAAATATTGATTTACTTGACAGTCGACACATACTGATTCAGTTATCTCACGATATTGATTACGCTCGCATTTTTTCTCAGAAAGTTATCAAGATCGACAACCGTTATATGAAAATTCTGAAGTGGGCTGATGATTTTGATCCCAAAGCAGAGTCCCCTATCATTCTAGTTTGGATAATATTAGTTGAAAAGATAATAGCTTATTAGAATAATAAATTAATTTAATTTTATATGTTGTTAGGCTTCGAAATATAGAGGGGTTAAGATTATGACAAATTAAATAGGTACTTAATGAACAATCGAGATGAGTACTTATATTTTTATATTATAGTAATAATTTGTTTATTCTCAAATGTGTTTGCAGTTGATATTTGTGCATACTTTATTCTGATTGAAATATTATTTTTCTTTATTGATCGTATCATTATGAATATCATGGCTACTTACTCATGTATTTTGTGTATATTTTATAGTCTGTTAAATTGAATGCGATGAATACATATGTTTATGTTGACTGTTTGTATGTACCTGACTAAATATGATGAAACACTCCTTGATCGGTACTAGTGTCGGAACACTAATATATTCGTGCACATAAATGGACAAAATTATTGATATTGATGAATCTTAGTTGACACAATTTTTAGATGATGCCTTCTATGACGATTGTATATAATGAAAATGACATTGATATGATAATGATATTGTACACATTTAAATAAATTTTTTTTTAAAAGCATCTTAAATTCTTATATTGATTTATAATGAAGCTTAACTTACATGCATATTATTATTTCTTTTCCTTGTATTACTTTAGTTTAGAAGTATAGATATTCACTGACTTTTCAGCTCACCGTTGTTTTAACTAATTTTTAATTAATTTTTTATGTTTGATTAACTTGTTCAAAGATGAATGATTGACGAGAAAATATTTATAGAAGACAGACAACCATCAACGAGATAATTATAAATTATACAATTTTAATTTAATTTTTAATGTCTCTTTCATCTCTTAAATTGTGAGTTAATTTATAAAAATTAATTCGGCCGTCAAACCGTCCTTTCTCGTCTTGGTTAAATCCAATCCTCGAGCCTGATCGTGATATAGAAATGATAAATATGTACATTTTGGTGCAAAATTTTGAGTGTATCTATCAGAATAAATTTTGAGTGTATCTACGAAAATTTAACCTTTTAATTTAAATAAGTTAAACTTAAATATTCAATAAAATTGTTATAATGATAAGTATCATATACCTTCAGCGTAGGCTGATAAGCTTTTGTTTGATTTCGGAGCATTGCATTCTTTTATAGCTGAAGAGTTGATTAAAGTGATGCAATTAAATAACACCTTGTGATATGATCTGTTAGAATGCTAATTAGTACTTTTATAGAAGTTAATCAATTATGTGAGATTAAGTTAGTGATTGGCAGAAAAAAAAATTGATGCATAATTGGTTGTGTTACATTTTGTGGAATTTGTGGTAATTTTAGGTCTGAATTGATTGTCTAAAAAATGTCACAATTGACTTCGATAAAAATTTTGTTAAAATACATGTACCTTTGGAGATTGTAGTCAAATTTTGTGGTGGAATAGGGTTGGCATCGAAGATCTGTTTGAGAGCTTTCAAATTGTTGAATCGTGGAAACCAAAGTTTTCTTGCTCATGTGTTAGATACCTCTAAGGAAGTGAAGTCATTGAATGATATTTCAGTTATAAGAGAATATCTTGAAGTTTTTCTTGATGTTTTATCAAGGCAACCACTAGTGCGAGAGATTAATTTTACTGTTGAGTTCTTGTCAGGTTCTAAGCTTTTGTCCAAGGCACCATACAAAATGACTGTTAAGGAGTTATAAGAGATGAAAAGTCAATTATAGGGCTTACTAGATAATGGGTTTATCAAACAAAGCACCCGCCCATCCTTTGGGCGCTCCTGAATTATCTTTGAAAAAGAATGAGAGTTTTAGAATGTACATTGGCTAAAGGTAGTTGAGTAATCCAGTAGTTGAAAACAAATGCCCGTTGTTGAGAATCGATGATTTGTTTGATCAATATGGTAGGAATTCTGTATTTTCAAATATTGATCTAAAGTCATACTATCGTCAGCTAAAGATTAAATAGGAAGATATATCAAAAATATCTTTCAGGATCAGATATGTGTGCTTTGAATTTGTGATGAAGCCGACATACAAATCATTTACATATTCTGCAGGTTTTGAAAGAAAATACAGTATATGCTAAATAATCTAAATGTAAATTTTAGCTTAAAAGTGTGGCTTTTCTTTGGATATTATCAGTGGAGATGTCATTTATGTGGATCATAATAAGATCAAGGCAACTGTAGAATTGCCAAGACCTACTACTTTTATTGAGGGCAAAATTTTTCTAAGTCTGGCTGGTTATTACAAGAGATTTGTAGTGAGATTTTCACATATTGTTATGTCATTTTCAGACTGACTCACTAGACTGAAATTTGAATGGTCATATCATTTTAAGGAGGTTTTTTAAAAGCTGAGGACTTAATGTCGGC